CCAAAAAAATCTTCTACCCCCAGCAGTCACTCCCCGTTTCCCCCCCGCAAGCCCTCTGCCTTGGTTTTAAATAAGGTTGCTAAGCCCCTGGGCCGACTCAGGGAAACCTACCGCAGTGGCCATATAGTGGGAGTCATGGGAGAAGCTTATATGAGTCACACCGCTTCTGGAATATTTGAAAGGCTCCGCGATTTCGTTTTCTAAGGACATTGCATCAAGAATGTAAACTGTCCCCTCTGTGAAGCCAACTCCGAGAATGGCTCCTGAAATCACAAGCCAGAGAGCAATGACTGAGAAGGTCTTTAGTCACTCCAGGCGCCAGGTCTTGTGCAGGTGCTGAGACAGCAATTAACATGGCAGACAGGGCCCTAGGCGGAGAAATAACCTGGGGCGGGGGCCCTGTAGTGCGAGGCTCAGAGCCCAGTGCGATTCTGAGGGAGACCACCCTCATCTAGCTGGTTGGGGAGGCTTGCGTGCTGCTGTGACGCCGAGTATGCTTCAGCGGAGCTTCCACACTAAGACAGACTAGGAAGAAAGGCCTAGCAGTCTACTTCTCAAAACCTGCCAGTGAAAACCTGAAGGATCCCAACAGTCCGATCTGCAACTGACCATGGGAAGGGCTTAGCTGGGAAAGCCTCCTGGTTTGGACAGCCACGGGCAGAGCCCACTGGAGGGCGTTTTCAACTGTCACCCTTGAAGGGCTGACAAAATGAAAATACCTTCCGGGTTGTAGGTCAGACTCTGGACGCCAATGCCCTTCTCAAAGACCCTGCTGAAAAGGTACGTTTTACTCTCGTAGTCCCACACTTTGATCATCCCACACAAGCTCCCAATGGCAAGGAGGGGCTGGTACGGGTGGCAGGCGACTGTGCAGATGGCATCCTTGGGCTCCACGAACAACTTCTCCAGTTTGGTCCCGTCTGCCGTTAGGTGATACACGGTGGCATCCGACGTTGCGATGACAAAGTTCCTGTTTGCCAGGGAGAGACCAGACTGCATCAGTGTTGGCAGGGGCACACCAGCCATTCTGCTTCTAATTGCATGCGAGCCGCCTCTGTCGTCTGTAATTTAGTGACATTATTAACCCAGCGTCTCCAAAAATACGCCATCAATACCCAACAGCTTCCATTTGCAAGTGAAAAAGCCCACGTTTCTACATGTAAATTGAGTCATTAAGTATGCAGATGGACAGTCAGTTGTACAATTAGCTAATCTGCACATGCAAATATTCATTTGTGTATGCAAATATGGAGCGGGGTGCACACATACAGATGTGCCTGTAAATATTGCAAGGGCAATTAAGCAGACTCGAAGACAATTTGGTCTTGAAATGTTATGGCTATTAATATCAAGTGCCTTCTACATGGTGGCTAGGACAAGCTCAGCTTCCAGAAAACACGGGAACCCACAGTGAAGAACTCCAGGCTCAAAAGAGGTCAGAGCTCAGGGATAAAGGCCTTTAAGCTTTGAGTTAGTAAGAGTCTTGTTAGGTGCCACCGACTCAGAACGCAACTCTATGTATAACAGAATGAAATGTTGGCCGGTC